GCGTTGGATTTTGGAAACCCAATTTATTTCGTAATTGAGGATCGTCCTAGGTAGTCCTTAAAATAAAGTTGCTGTCAGAGCTATTTTATTAAAAGCTGAATGTTGGGACTGTGAATTATTGTATGTAATGGAATTGCCCATCTTGAATTTCCAAGGTGAATTTTCCGGCGAAGCACTCCACTATCACCTTGAAGTATGTTTATGTGACAATGCCCTCACAGTTTAGAATCAGTTCACCAACAGCCAATTATATTGCTTCTTTCATCAACACGCTTGGCCAGCTATCAAAATCCCCAGGCGGAGCTAAGTCACAAGATGCTCCACGCTGATATTAAAGACGCGCACCACCTACCATGTATTTCTATGGACTCTGCGCGAGCTGCTGTGAAATGCCGGTCGAAAAGCCGGTGAAAATAGCTAAAATCGAGAAAACAGCACAAACTCAACTTTTAAGTAATCCTAAACAACCAAATTTAAATATGTTGCATATGATAAAACAAAAAAGAAGTCCCGACTTTGCCAGTCTAGCGGACGATTAGAATTGTCAGGTGCACGTCAGCGCCTTTATTTTATTCTTAGTCAACTGTACCGCCAAGTTCCCATGACACGCATCCAACGGCGAGTTAGACAAAATGAAAGAGGAAATAGTTTTAGATGATCTAATTGCATGAAGCCGGGAATTCTCGGAATTCGCTGAAATTGATTTCCCCCGAAACTGTAGTCACTTAAATGACTTCGTAATAATCTCTGATTCTGTGATATTGTGCTGATATATTGTGTGAAGGAATGTGATGATATCACCGTGATTAGTGTCTCTAGTCCCGGAAAAAGTATACACTTACAAATTCTTACTTTCACTGAATGATTTTGTTATTTCCGGATGGGGGAGGGGGGGGGGTAATAAAACTGAAACTAGTATTAATATAACTTTATATACTATTAGTTATTCTAAAGATTCTTCATATCTATGAATGTCTTAGCTAATAATGTTCATGGCAAATCATTAGACAAAGAATTTCGCCAAGGAAACAAAATATGTTGATTTTTGACAATCCTGAAAACCGAATTTTCCTAACTATTAATAATTATTTTATAATTGCAAAATAAGCAGTGGTGTATTTAAATGTACGCATCCGTTTAATGCAATACGGAACTAATATCATTTTATAGATACACCTTTGACCCAACCATTTCGTGGAAAATGCGAACATCAACTTTCTTTTTAGCAGGTCGTTGACCTCATATTATGAACAGCTAATTACGTCGAAATGTGTTTGTTCGGTGATCTTTAACATCGATCTCTTCTCTTATATAGTAACGAATTAATAGTATTGTGTATGTATATATTTTATTAGTTAAAATTAAGAAATCAGGAGAAACGTTGGCTAAAAAAATGTTTTTCGCATGCAACGGGCGGGACCAGTACTTTTTGTTACGTTTAATTGTATATTTCAAAAACAGGGTGTCTGTGTTCAATGAATGACACCTGTAAGGCGTATGTAATTTGACTCTGGAAACGATGTGCCATTTTAACTCCTTAATGTCAACCAACTACCAAGTTGAATTATTAATTACCGCGGATTTCTTAAATTTGAATACATAACAAATGTTAAATTCGTATTTCTATGTGAAGAGGAATTACCAACATTCAAAATGTCTACAAACATCGACGTAATAAGGCGCGAGTCCGGACAAAATGAAAACGACTTTTCCTTCAAGGTTCCTTTAGATATCAAAAAATACTTCACTCAGACGTTAATTACGCGCAATATTTATATCATTTCATACTACTTTTGATTGTATTTGAACGCATAAATAACTATATATCCAACCTTCGATGAAATGTCGTGCACCGAACAACAACGCTTTGACACGATGGCAGACGAGCCGTCTGACAGCGAGGTTATTCGCGCAGATCAATAGTAATCGTTCTAGGGCAATGTCCGGGCTAGAACTATAACATTAATGATAATTATAATATGATATGATTTGAAATTTCTTTTTCACAACAGTGAAGAAAGAGTACATTTCTAATTTGATTAAACATAATACTGTTTATCACAAACAGGATATATAGCGTCGTTTCGAATTGTTTACCATATAGGTGGTAATAGCATAATTGAACTCAACTTAAATAATGTAAGAAAACGTGTTATCAAAATAGACTTTATCTTTCTCGAAATGTTCGGCATTCCACACTGAAATAGACAGCGAACTCTCATTTTACGGGGTTAGGCAAGTGGTCTCTATCACAGACAGCTGGCATACAGGCGATAATAAATTAAATGTGATATTTATCATCGATATTTACAATAGGGGCGGGTATCTTGGATACGACTTGAATCCAAATAAAGAGACAAGTCGAGAAACGGGTTCTTACAATTCAGGGCAGAATACCTAACGTTCAAATCCGGACGATTCGTTGGGGTAACATTAAGTCAACGGCTATTACAATTCGACCGTATTAGTCGTTTTTGGTAGTAAAATCCCTTATATACGAACACCCCATTGAATGAAGAACCCAGGACATTTTCACGAGATACCTCCATGTGTAAACCCAGTTCCATTCACGGACCGTTAAACGATGACGCATTTTGTCGAATTCAACGTCATGTTGGATACTACTATTTCATACAGGTTTGGACTCCTGTGTGTACAAAACACAAACAAGGCACCATGTCTGTTCGTCCGTCTGTCTGTGTGTATGTGTGTCTGTGTCACATCTTGTTTCACTGATATATCAAGATTCACTGCATGTGACGTGTTTGGAATGAAATTTGGAACTCTTCTACAATATCATGATAATTTGTTGATAATTGTGCTAATTATTAAATATTAAAAAAAACAATAATTAAAAAACAAAACAATAATGTTAATAAGTTAGTGTGCATGTTTGTGTTTATATTAAAATATTAAACGGACGTAATGATATGAAGGACACTACTATGCATCATTATCTAGGAATTACACTGACGGCAATCGTAAACAAATGAATCTATATCACTGCTTCATTTCTGAAAACTTTTGTTACATTATTCACAAAATACATATCACGTTGGGTTTATTATTATTATATAATTTTTTTATACCAGCCGACTATAGGTGGCTAAAAATATGTAATTTCATATAGTACTGTAATTTAATATAATATTTTATGGAAGCCTAGTTAGGTTAGGGCTAACCAAGGTGCACTAACCAACGACCCAAGCGTGGTTTTGAGTATATATGCAACAAACATGTTTGGTTACGATAATTGGTTTCTTTGGTTACAAAATCATTTTTTAACCCCCCACCCTCATTTTTATTTCAATAGTTTTGTCAACATCTTCATATAAACATTTTCCAAAGATGTTACTAATGCCAATCTATTCCAGGTTTCCACCCTACAAGAAATCAAAAGGAGGTAAATTCGACGATGGCTTCGAGCACATTAAAAACAGTGGAGTGCGGTTATTCCAAATCAATTCTAAAAGACGAGTATATTTCCCAGAAATATATTTGTACCTTTTGCGACCACGTGTTAAGGGATCCATTCCAGAGTTACTGTGGGCATCGATTTTGCAGAAGATGTATCGAAGAGCAAGTTAGGTGAGAGTGTATATAATTATAACTGTAGTGTTTCTGGTGTACTTTGTTCAATAGCTTTGCAACATCATTTAAACAAATTTAAAATAGAATAACATATAAAAGGGTAGTAGGCAATCGCAATGAAAGATTGATAACCCGTAGCATATAGTGGCTATTGAATGCATTAATGAACTTGTTATTAGGACAAAGTGTCGAATTCCAAATGTTGAAATTCACTTTGCCCTAATCTCAAGTTCGTTCACGCATTATACAATTGAATAAACAAATGACCACCATATGCAAGGGATTGTTAATACCCGAAATTACTGTCTATATTCTAGTCATTCCTGGCAAATGCATTATTCTTACGGAATCTACTATTTATTTATTTATTTATTTATTTATTTATTTATTTATTTATTTATTTATTTATTTATTTATTTATTTATTTATTTATTTATTTATTTATTTATTTATTTATTTATTTATTTATTTATTTATTTATTTATTTATTTATTTATTTATTTATTTATTTATTTATTTATTTATTTATTTATTTATTTATTTATTTATTTATTTATTTATTTATTTATTTATTTATTTATTTATTTATTTATTTATTTATTTATTTATTTATTTATTTATTTATTTATTTATTTATTTATTTATTTATTTATTTATTTATTTATTTATTTATTTATTTATTTATTTATTTATTTATTTATTTATTTATTTATTTATTTATTTATT